TTTTTTTTATACGTCAGCCATGTTTTTTCTCTGAGTCTGCACTTTGTGTGCTCTTAATACTACTTTCTCCGAAGCGCTCCTGCTTGCCTTAAGCACTTTTTGTTCTCTCCATGTCAAAGAGCCATTATCCATGGCCCAGCTCAATCCACACAAGACAGGCCGCCCATCCATCAGCCCATCCCAGGACTGCTGCGGAGCTTTAACTGGACTTACATTAGGCAGGTGGGGTAAAGGAAGAAACATGATACCATAAATCACCGCCTCCACGACGCTCTGCTCACAGTGATACCTGATGCGTCTGCTGGAATGATAGCAGAGAATTCCCACTGGGATGAAATTCCCTTTTCCAGCCTTGGATGTCAGGATCAATGTCAGGTTAAGTCCCCAACTGTGTGCAACTCCACTTAAAAGAAAGTGGCCTCAAGGCTTCGATGCAGGTGTTGATCATGCATGGGATAGAGTAACAATCAAGATTCACAAGAGAGACCATTTCTTACCCCATTTCCTGTCACGTGTTCTTTTGCGTTAACTGCAGATCATTTATAATACAGTAGAGGAAGGCCCAGCAGTGAGAATCAGCCACCTGCCATTGTCAAAGTCATAATGATAGCTGCTTAAACACACTGAGAGAGGTGGCACACAAAAGGAACAATGAATGAATGAACGATACTGTATCATAGCAGATCAGATACAATATGGGAAATTAGGTCATGGAAGAAGTGGAGATAAAGACTGACATACTGAGTTTAATGGGTTTAAACCACATTTAAGTTTCTATCCCTCAGGAATCAAAGAGTAATGTTTTTTCAGACCCATAATTATCTACAAATGCTTAGCAATTATACAGGAGGAATCCATCCTAACAGGTATATCAAATTACAGTAGCCTCTGTAGACCAGAATGCAATGCAACCACACATAGTAATGTTAGGGATTTGAGTGTGGGGGATGCAAATATCAGCCACTTAAACATGTGCATTTGCTCTCATCCTATACAAATGATAACTTTGTGTAAGTACAGACCTGTCCTCTTAATGTTGTTGAAAGGTAATCTGGGAAATGCATGAAAGGATACACGGCTGTTTGAGGGAATATTACAACAATTCCTTATAAAGAAACTCCTGAAACGCACTGTGCATGAATAACATTGAACAGTGTACAAATATCTCAAAGTGGACTTTTCCTTTAAGAGTGTAAATCCCACTAGGACCAGAACTAAAAATGTATACGCTTGTGAAAGTGCTGCGGGTGAAGACCTTCCCCCAACGGCACGGATATGAAAACTCAGCTGACATCCAATCGTCTATAATCGAAACCATTTATATCTGTAGGTGTCTCTATATACCACTTGTGTGTGTGTGTGCGCGCTTGAGTGCACCTGCTGAACTAGGACCCAGATCATGCATTGCACTGAGAAAAAGAGGAGAGGCTGCCCTCCTTCTGCCCGTTTCAATCAGCTGTGCAGCCGGAGAGTAGCTGCATGGTCCATACTAAGGCAGGCTATATCCAACACCTTCCACATTTCCTGGTTGTATATTTGAATTGAAAACAATGGAGGCAAGAGAACGTAAAAGTGCATGTTTTTTTAAAGGCCATACTATTCTCTGTGCCAAAGAACAGAAAGTCAGTCGGTAATGTCCTGCAATAGAGGGCATTGATATGAGTGTGTGTGTGTGTGTGTGTGTGTGTGTGTGCGTGTGCGTGTGCGTGTGCGTGTGCGTGTGTGTATATGAAAGGCCAACAGGAAGAGCCGCTCTGTATCTGCAGCAGGAGAGAGTTGCCATGCGGGCTTGGTTAGCCATTTGTCTTTGTTTTTTCAAACGGCAGGGGCAGCTGCCGCCAAAGGTCAGCAAAATGTTAGCAGAACAAGGCCCTATAGAGGCCAGGAGCACGTGCCTGTGACAAGAAGGGGACACACCCAGGTGGAGGGAGACATTTTCCCTCTCGTATGACACACCCTGGCATCTTGTTTGGCATCAAGGAGCTGGGTACTGATGCAGCTGCTGGTGGCCTTCTGCCGTTTATTCCCAACTCAAAGCAAGGGATGATCTTCTATAAAGATAAAAAGGTTAGGATATACTTTATTGATCCTAAATTGGGAATACTGCCTGAACGCAATGACTTCAGCCCTTGTATGAGGTGCTGTATTACAGGCTTTTTAACTTGGGTATGTTTGTTCTTGCCATCAAAAGAAATCCGTTTTTTTTTGGGCATGCAAAACAAAATACTGAATCCAACACATTATAGGTACAATTAAACTGTTGGAATTCAGCCACAAGCCAACATTTTATAAGTGGGGATATCAGGTTACACAGACCCTCCGGGTCTCCATCCATGTGTTGAAGTTTGCGTTTGAAGTGCCATCCTCCCCCCTGCCCTCCTTTACCCACCTACACCCCCGGCTGTAACACAACCTGGGTAAACTTACACCAACCACCCCTCAGAGTCTGTCTCTGGAGCTTTTGTGCAGAGCAGACTAGTGCCCAGGGACATGGGTGGGTGGATGGATGGATGGATGGATGGATGGATGGATGGGTGGGTGGGTGGGTGGAGGTCAGACATGGCCCTTTGCAACTCGCACGACACAGTAAAGTGCTGATAGATGCATGGACTTTGCAGATGCTAACACACACACACACATCTTTCTTCTCCTCTCATGGGATCACTCCTCAAGTCCAACATTTATTTGACAACTGTTTTTCTCATCTAATCAACTACATCGCAAGGAAATCAAGCGTACGCAAAAAATAGAGGATGAAAGGCAGCAGAGAGATGGATGGAGGAAAACAGACGGGCTGGTTTTTTTTCTTCCCTTCCACTTCTGGCAAAACAAGACAGAGTGCATGAATGAGAAAACCATCCATGTTCCTGGTGATGTGTTTCGAGCCCTTTCAAAATATATACCCTCGGTTCTCCCTTCAAAATCCTCGGATAAAAAAAAGCTGACAGTGAAAAATCCCGTGTTTTTAAACAGTAGCCGTGAAATGACACGCTCGCTTCTAACATGTGTTTTACCTCTGTGGCTGGAAATGTAATCCATGACGGAGCTTTTTATGACTGAGCTGTATACCATACGGCCTGAACACAATGACTTCAGGACTACAAAGCCTTGTGAATGCCTTGATGCTGCATGTCTACTGTTTGTGTTTGTACTTATGCCATCACAACAAAATCCTGTTCTTTAGCACATATATCAAATAAAATACTCAATTCAATGCATTATAAGGACAATAAAACTGTTGCAATTCAGCCAAGAGTCTAAATGAAGCCAGCAAATGTGCCTCTAACAATAAAAAACACAGCCATTCCTTTAAACCCTCCTTCTAAACAGTTGATAACAAATGTTCCTTCATTCATAACCAGACACAGGAAACAGAGACACGACAACAAAACCCCAAGGGAAAACAACATGTCAACCATGGTTTTCCAGATGTGCTCGTGCAATCACTCATTTTCTGTCCTCTGCTTTGTCCCCGACCAGACAGTAAATTACATCTGACACCGAACTCTATTTTCCTCTTGCAAAAAAAACAAAAACACAACAAGCTTAAGGGCATCTGCCTGAGGGGAGGCGACCAGAAGGCCGGTAGTTATGTTCATCCCATTAACTGCACTGTAAGCGAATGGCTGCATTGTTGCAGCCCTGTCCCATGCCCAGAATAATGTGCTTCTAGTCTGGTGCTTTGTGGATGCAAATCAAGCGTGCCTTAAGGACACAGACAGCCCATTATAATGCCACTGTGGGGAATAAAGGCAGGGCCAAGTGGCTTCTTTACTGGCCATTTTTGTGTTTGTTTTGTGTATTCACCCCTGAACAGACAGTGAGAAAACTGTCCTCGTCTGGCCTTGGTAGTGTAAATAAAACACACACACACACACACACACACACACACACACACACACACACAGGGAATGTTTACTGTGCTAACCTGGGTACATATGGCAGCCAGCCAGGCGGTGGCATGGTCTGCAGCCCCTCTACAAATGACCTTTGAACCCTACTGTCATGAAGGGGTCATTATCTTTCCTGTGTTAATGTCTGAAGCATCCAAGACAGGGGCCAAAGAAGGAACACTGGGTATTTGGTTTAACCTCCATGTTATTCTGACAGTAAAGAAGCAGCATCAGAGTATCAGAATATGACCTTAAGCTTGAACTTTTTTTTATAAGACTCTATAGAAATGTGTTGTGTAAAAAATAATCAGATTTTGAAGGTAATTCCTCTGGCTAAAGTGGGTGCTAATGTGAGACTGGTGATAGCCACTGGCCAAACTGGCTCTCCAATGTGCTGCCGGAGGCGACATCCAACAATGGGAATTAAAACGGAGCTGCAGTGATGGAGGTGACTGATAATGGGCTCAACAGAACCACACTAACATACATTACCACTTATGTAACCGTTTCTAAAAGACATAACATGTAGTGTTTGACAAATGCACTGGTAAAATACAGACATTAACGCGACAAAAGCATCGGCCATTAGTAGTACCAGCCTCCTCCCTCTGAACAGGGTGGAGACACACATCTCTGTCACAGATGCAGGGGAGGAAAATGAGGGGTTTAATATCAGAAAAAGAGTGCCTGGGCTCGGCTTTGGCAACATAAGAGCAACACAACAAAAGGTTTAAAGCCTCTCCCATATGGAAAGCTGCGGCTCTTTTCCCAGTCGGCCCAAACGCTGCACGCCCTTTCTCCCCAAGAAAGGGATTGTTCAATGGCCGCATAGGGGGCACACAAACACCCCATTCAAACACCCTGCCACACAACACACACTTTCCTCTAACAGGGAACAACACATACACAATGTATCGTTTCTTAATACCTAGCGGTGCTTGCTTTAGTGTGGTTAACATAAGAGTACAGCCTCGAACCACCCAGGTTGATAAATGCTCGTTTATTTAGGATTGACATTGGTAGTTTCTCAACATGCTTATTTAAAAGAGAGGAAAAAGGAGATAGGGAGTGAAAACCTCCAGGAATAATAAAGAAATATCCACTTACAGTCAGACGGGATTCACAAAGAGGCTCCTTTCCTGTGTTCTCCAATGGGAGAGCAGATATCCCTGCCCTCGGGGGGAGGAATGAGGAGACTCCTGATATGATGGGTTTAATTATGATTTTAGAAGATATATCTAGTTAAAAACAGCCCGTTATCCTCATGTTTTCACCCGTCGTCGCCTCGTCTACACACACAATTTCGGTCCCTCTCCCATTCTTCTCTCCCTGCTGAGGAGGGAGACACGCTGCGCGTCTCCGTCGTTTCCTGTCCAGCCCCTCGCTGCCTTCAGGGGCCGTCGGAAATATCTCATATTGGAGCTGATCGCAGAGAAAATGAATGACCGAGCAAAACAGGGCGATATGAATATGTCCAACTGGGAAATAGATAAATTGCACTGTTACCCAAAATGAATATTTGACAAATAAAGTATGTTTTTCTGATGATTAAAGGGTTAAAAAAATATATGCCCCGAAAGTAGGAGTTTTGGAGGAACAGTGAAGGCAGCATCAATTTCCAGCAGCTATTCCCTAACAAAATAATAATAAATACAATAATTATAATAATACAAAAAGAAGAAGAATACTTTATGTAAAAAATAGTTTACAAGTTGATACAAAATTGTTTTATATATCACCCACATTGCGGGGGTTCCTGTTGATGCTCCCTAAAGCCACCCCAGCAGACAAAAGGGGACTGGTTCCAGATTAGGAGATTATTGCATGTTATCCATATGGACACATGGCATTACTAACCCGTCAATCCCCCCTCATCCATTTTCTGAATCAGAATTACAGACAACATTTGTGAAATGTCATAATCCCCATTTCCAAATCCCATGAATTTACCACCATGTGTTCCAACAGAGTAAATATGTTCTACCCTTTTGTGGTCTCCAATCCCTGCTCTGGGCTGGTAAACCTGAAGAAAAGTAAATTAAATGTTTGCAATTAATATACATTTGTATCTGCAAAGCATTTGTTGTGGTTTGTAACAGAAGACAACTAAAGAAATAAAGGGATGTGTCGCCATCGAGTGGACAAACAAAGACATTGCTTTTTTTTCTCAACCCCATTTCTTTTATACAATCATTTTTCTTTTCACTTGTTCCACTCTGAGCCTGTTTTTCAGGTCTCAGGCTCGAAAATGACATTCCCAGAACAAATGACCATATCTTCCCTTCTAAAAGGGTTAAATTAATAATCTTTGTTCTCAAAGTAATGATAAACCTGTGAGTTGGATGTAGAAGTGTCAGAATCAATATAAATGTTTTTTATTTTAAAGAAAATTCAGATTTTACATAGTAAAAAACTGTAAATTATAGTGTCCGTCCAAAAATTATTTTTTACAGATAGTGAAAACTACCCTTGGATGATGGGTTAGTAGACTAAAAGCTTTAGGAATCCAAAGTACAACATATAATAAGTACCCTGTATCAAGATTGATGCAAAACAAGTGAAATTTGACCTTTTTAGAGAGATTTAGCCAAAAACTGGGCCATCTGGGGTCATTTGGGTGGATTTGACCTATCTCTGGCCCCCCTTGCTCGATTTGGTTGGTTGACATACCCTTGTGACCGTTAGAGCCAATAGAATCGAAGGGGGAGGCCCACACCGTGTGGAAAACGAAACCAAAGTGGAGGAATGTCTCCTTCTGGAGTTTGGAAACAAAACAAATAATAAAGATGCTGTGTGTGCAGTGACAGTTCCGCACACAGCGGGACATCTGTTCACCCTACACACAAACACACACACGGTGCTGCCCCTCACACACACACCCGCTTCAAATCAAGTTGCATAAATGCTTGAGCTACGTTTTTATTACAACTACTGTGAAATCTGCCTATTATGTTTTCGTCATTATTACAACAAATACATACTTGCAACTGAGGCAATGATTTTATATTTATTAGACTATTAAAAAAATGCATGCTTCAAATAAGTGGGGGTACGGCGTACCCCCGCGTCCAACGCCCACTACACCACTGGTCATGCCTAAACAGCGACATTTTACACGATAAATACGGGTTTAAATAGCAGCATTTGACACGGAAGGCGAGTGGCAGCTACCGTAAACCTTCTGGCATCTTGTGGCAACTCCCGTTCAGCAGCGGCAAATGCCTCGGCAAGTTGTGGCATCTGTGGCAAGTTGTGGCATCTGTGGCATATGCCGGTGGCAAGTTGTGGCATCTGTGGCATATGCCGGAAGTACTTGCCACTGCCTGCAGATGCCACGAAATGCGCTTGCTGTCTCTCTACTTTCATGCTTCATATTTCACAGTGTATTCTAGTAAATGTAAACTAAGAGTTGTTCAAAGGTGTGCTTTTCCTTCCACTGTTTTAATCTTTGTCTCCACACAATGATACAATATAACACATCATTGGTTCACAGATCCTTCTTGCGTTATGTCTAAATTAACACAGTTAAATTAACAAAATGTGTAAGCCATCAAAGGTCACAATCTCTGGGAGAGAGCGGAAACTTGAGCAGAGGAGGCGTTTCTCTGCCACAGGATGTTTTCCCTCACGAGAGGATGTGTATCTGCACTCTCTGCACCGCCGTGGGAGTGTTGTAATCACACACACTGAGGCATTATAGTCAAATGAACACTTCCATGGAACCCGGATTTATAATATCGCAGTACCTGATCACATTTATCTGCAGCGTTTACAGTGTGCTGAAGGAGCTCGACCTGTGTTAGGTGATGAGGGAGATGTTGAGGCGTGTTGTGCAGAAGATGAAGATGAGGGCTTGCTGGATGTTCATGATCCTCCTGAGCTGCAGGTTATCTCAGGCTGCCAAAAAACGTAAGTTTAGTCATTCATATACTCATAATTATTAAGATTCATGTGGTAGAAGAACACTATTAATTGCAAGACCTTTACTGTGTATATGTTGATTCCGTGTGTGTGGCTTTTATTTTTAAACACCTTCAGTAGTTAAACATGTGCATCAATGTATCTCGGGTTGATTGCTAAGTCTATGCATGTAAAATGTGGGATTTTAAATCATAAATATCAGAAATGTGCCCCTTCCTGAATATATCCTATCTCATTGGCTGTTTATATATTGGTTGGTGCCTAAGAGGATACTTTAAGTCTAAAAATGTCGGCTGAATTTGTGGGTTGAGATTTATATATGTAAACAAGTCAACAGGGAGATTTGAAAATAAAGTGTTGCCTCAATTTAAAGACTATAACAGTTTACAGAGAGTCTCTATTTCAATTCCAATACATCACATAAATCAAGACCTCCACCTCTTGAGTGGCATAATTGAGTCATTCAGAGGCTGATTCAAGTGATTCTTGTGAAATGTGGGTAAAAGAGGCAAATGTGCTGCTTTTGAACAAATTCCGTGTGGGGGTGGAGGTGCACTGAAATGATGAGATCCAAAGTGTTGATTTCACTTAGTGGAATTAGATGCTTATAAATCAATGTTTGCAGGAGTGTTAGCTGTGAAAGGACGTTTCCTTTGCAAGCTGTTTGGTGTTGGTTTCACATTGGTGTGAAAGACACGTATTTTCAGAGTATATTATCAACATTTTTCTCTGCAGAAGAGCTGAAAATGATCTGCGTACCTTTCGGAGGCAATGCTCCCGTGCCTTGCCCGGAGCTGAACCAGCAAGACGCGACCTTTCACCTCTTCAAGAACGAAGAACAGATTTACAGACAAAATTACCACCGCGATGGAAACACCACATGGAAACCTCAGACCAAGGCAGAAGTCGAACTACATGAAAACAGAGAAAATAAATCAGTGAATTTCATGCTGACCGGAGTGAATGCCAGCAGCTTCGGTCTCTACAGATGTGAGGGCATGGTCCTTCACCCCCCTCCCATTGAGCCAATTCCAAGTACTGTGTTTATCCTGGTACAAGTAGAAGGTAAATATCTCTTAAAGGTTGGAAGGAAAACAGGGGAATATTTATAATTGTGTGCATATAGTCACTGAATACTTCCTGAATATGTTTCTTCCAGGACACCAATGCAGTTTGAACACAAAAGCAGGTGGAGGTCAAACGGATGGACTTCTCTGGATTTGGATTCTGGGGCTTGTAGTCCTTAGCATTTACGGCGTAACTGCCACTATCATTGCAGGCATCTTCTGGGTAAGATCACATAACACTACATGAGTTTGGAGGGAAACCGGTATTTAAACTACAGAGCAACAGCCATTGTCCTTTTATGACCCTTTGGACTATAGTGTATGTCAAATGTTCAACTTTTATGTCTTTGAAACTAAGGAAGCATTTAAAAATACAACCAGAACCTCTGTGAGCTTTTTAGAGCTGGAGAAAAGACTAGATAATTAAACTACGGGCACACCAAAAAAGAGACATATTGTTCGTAAAATATTTTAACTGTCTACAAAAGAAGAGACTAAAGCTTACTTATAGTACATTTTGTGATCTTGTTCCTTTACATCTAGTTCAATATATTCAAATGCTTTAATATTTTTGCACTCATGTGTGTTTCTTATTCATTCAAAAACGTTTTTCTTTGAAATTATGAAAGGTACGTCAGGTGCCCAAATCCCCAGAAAAACCCATGAAATCCAGAAGACATGTCCCTTTCGTCCTCAATGATATGACATTATGACCATGTGGGTATGGTAGTGCATTATATACCTGCACTCACATGATGCTGTGTTCTCTTACAGGTGAAGTGGAGGAGCTCAGAGTCCCACAGTGACTACATGAACACCAAACCCAAAGCACCCCGGGACCGCAGGAAGAACAAATGGGTCCAGAATCCTGGACCACGGCACTTCAGTTAACGTTACCCCTGTTAGTGTACATATAAAGACACAGGTGTCCGTGAAGTAGCTCAGAAAAATATCCTGAGCGAGGTTTTGTTAAGTTCATTTTCTTTCTCTGTACTTGTCTACATAGCGAAAGCAGCAGCTCTTTTTATATCAGTTTTTTTAAAGAATACAAATCTTAGGCAGCGTTCACTGTCTCTTCTTTTCAAATGAAGAGACAGTGAACGCTGTTCCTGCTGCACTGATCTGCAGCAGGAACCCTCTGTGGTTGAAACGGATTCATTCGTCTGAATGAGGGGATTTGACCTCATTTACAAATCCTGTGTGGTGAATCACGAGTGACCACAATTTCAAAATAAATAATAAAACATTCTACAAACTTTGGTGTGAATCACATCTCTTTCCACGCTCATTTCTGAGAAACACAGAAACATCAGTTCGGAGTTTATAAGGAGAGGCAAACAATAACAATGTGCACGGTTTCCTGTGTGCTTCAAAGA